GGATTCCATATACTTGCACATCTGAGGCACACCAGTTGTCTAACAAACCTTTGTCTTTGTGACTTATTTAACTTTACCTGCCTTCTACGTCCTTACAGAGATATTCCATTCATACTAGATCACGGGGGATACATGTAGTTGGCGACAACTGCTCGTTTCTATTTTAATTTGATTAGGTTAAGACAAGGCTTAAGGTTAGGGTTATGGTTAGCAGTGATTTGAGGTCTTCGCTCCACAACAGGAGAATTGCAGATTGTGTGGTGGCAAACCGGATCAGGACCCAACAGCCAATAGCAGAATCCTGTTCCGGTCCGGTATACCGGAACGTACCCTGGTACTATCTAATATGCCGGACCGTACCTCGCCTACTCCACTAACGAGTCTGGGGAGTCGCCTACTCCCTAACCCTAACCGTAACCCTAACTCTAACCCTAACCCTAACCCTAACCCTAACCATATCAAATAGTTACCAGGGTATGTTCCGGTATACCGGACCGTACCCAGGGTACGTTCCGGCAGTACCCTGGGGGACATATAGACACTATGAACTTCACTTATACCCCCAGGGTACGTTCCGGCAGTACCCCGGGGGACATAGACCCTCTCAGCTTTATTGACCCTCTCAACTCTCTAGCAGATCTTTGAGCAGAGTGCTATGCGTGCGATTAGCTCTAGTACTATGGGCCGCCCTTGTTCGCCACAAGCCTGCGGCAAACAATTAAGGGCTATAGAGTAGGGTGCGGTGAGATTACGTGTTGCAGAATGCAGAGAAGAATCTGTATGAGTTACGTGAAACTTTTTGGCGATAGAAAGTACACCAAAGTTAATACTCGTAGTAAATACAATTCATGTTTGTTTATCATCATTTTACTATTAAAACGGCACAAGACCCTGTCATAAAACACTAAACAGGACCGACGACGAGTACAGCTACAACTTCAACTTGTTGTACAACGAATTGGTTTCATCAATCAATGAGGAACACCCAGTGGCGTAGCCAAGATTTTTTAACAGGGGGGCCAAAAACAGCAAACTGTGCAAAATAGTGGATGACTTAACATTTTAATGGTTCCTCGCCTTCCTCGCCTCCCTCTCCACACCATACGCTCCCCCACCTCGCAGCTCTGCAATATTTGTTTTGGGCGCCATGCAACAAGGTGACATTTTTGTTCGTTGTTCTCTGCTCCCAAGATATAAACTGTTCAGTGGCGGATCCAGGATTCCAAGGAGGTGGGGTGGAAAACAGGTGGGGGGTTTGGGGAGAGTTTAAACAATTTTGAAAATGTAGATCGCAGCAGTCTGAGGAGATGGTATTCGAGGCACTTTTGAGTACCTAGTACCTACGTGTACAGCCTTCATTCTGACTACGACAATTCTCTTTTTAGTAGAACAATTCTTTCTTTCTTTTTACTTTCATATCAACACTACAGGGGGGGCCATATTGCCCCCCACTTAACTTATAACTAGGCCACTGGGGACACCAATTTTTAGATGACCATGATACAAGTTATAAATATTATAAGTGATGTACGTGACCTCGCAAACAATCTCCTTCATTATCAAAGGCACCTTACAAAGAAGATTTACCTGATTTACCTGATTCCACCCCTCACCTGTAGGTTTGGAGTGCATCGAAGGGTAGGAAGACTACTGACACTGTCTTGTATAAACCCCAATACTTACATATTCATCCACATGGCTTTTAAACGAGAATTGATTTAGCTTGTACTGCTTCTTCTGACAGGTTATTCCAGTGATTTATTACTCTAAAACTGAAAAAATGTTTCCTTAACTCTAGTTGTGCACGCGGATAGCGCTCAAGATTGCAACGCAACACAATCGCAAATCAACGCCCCGTTTGCGGATTGCACCTTGCGTACACTGCCTGCTTAGATGGCACGTACTGTAGCTGAAGGGGTCGTTATGTATACACAAGTGTACCAGACCTGTATCTTCTCAGCATATATGTACCCTGTGTTTACATAAACGTAGGGCAGCATATGAAACCACGCGATAAAGTACGAGAATGTCGTAAACCTTCAAAACAAGAGAACAAACGCCATTTGTAAATGTTTGTTTTGGTTTATAACCTTTAGATAAGTAAGTTTTCTGATGTATTTTCCATGATAAACACATATTTTACTCATTAATATAACATATAATATCACTATAATTGCAATTCTTTGTGCAAATGTGTTATTTTCATCTTAATCTTAAGTTATGAGAGGGTCTGGGCTTATAGCTGCCGAGTTTGGTTTAGTTAGGAAATGATAATACGATTTGCGTATCCGTATCGTTCCGCGTATACTGCAGTATTAACAGGTATCAAGGATATATGCAGTGTAGGGGCCCAGGGTTCTGCCCACGGTGGGCGGCGGTGGTCGGGTGTGCCCGGCGCTCGCGGTTGCCGCCCGGCACTATAAACGAGTCGGTTATCTCTGCCTGGCACTAATTTAAAAAAGAAAAGAAAAAAAAGGCAAAGAATCGTACACTAAATACACTGTAGTTTGTGTCCATTTGTTTGGAACTGAAGCAGTCTGACAGAAACTGTGACTGGCATTAGCCTGGCTATCATGTTTAATAGTAGCAAATATTTGTCTACACAAATTGTACTGTTTTCTCTTTTCTATGTATATATCCAAGCTGTTGATAAATAATAACCTCAGATATTGCACTTTGTCCTCTAAAACCCCTGTTTGTCAGTCTGATATATGGGCTTTTTCATGCTCAGAATGCAGGAAATTGAATTTCAGACTATCCAAAATCAAAAATTTTGCGGTGGGGCATGCTCCAGGACCCCCATAGATTGGCTTCGCGCCTACGGCGCTTGCATCTTGCGACACTGGATGCGCCCGGCACTGAAAAATCCTGGGCAGAACCCTGGGGCCTATACGCAATACGTTTTTGTTCTACTTTCTGTTTATGTTCGTGGACCGATTAGTTTACAGCTGACCTCAGGGTTTTTGGTAGATAATTCGGGATTTTGGCTACAAGTCATGGAGGCTGACATCTTGCCAAATTCCAGCCAATCAAAAGGCGCTAAATTCTTCCTATGTTATACCGTTTTCCGGCTTTTACGACAATACCACGTGACTGAACGAGACTTCCCGCCAGGGTACATTTACGAGTCGCGTTCACACGGTCATGGTTTGGCTTGAGCCAAATGGGCTAAATTTGGCTCGGGCCGGTTTGAGTCGGAGCATTTACACGTACGCAAGTGAATACTGTCTGTCAAATTCAAATTCAAATAAATTTTATCTCACAGATACTTTGGCAGTATGTCGCGCGATGGCGTTTTGTACGATTCAGAGTCTTTACTTCCGTTCCGAGTTCAATTATCAATCTTGAAAACGTGCATCCTGATCAAATTTTTCGAATTTTTATACTGTTTTGGACTTTATTTCGTCGAAGTACACGTTCAACACTCGCGGCACCTACCGCTCTACCGCTCGCCGAAAGCTGGTGCTCAAATTTGGCTCGGGCCTGGGCCGACGTTTTCGATGGAACCTAATCTGGCGCGGGCCTAATTAGGCTCGGGCCAAAAACGTCCGTGTGAACGCTCGGCTCGAGCCAAATCTGGCGCGGGCCTAATTAGGCTCGGGCCAAAAACGTCCGTGTGAACGCGCCTATGGAGTGCAGCGGTACGGTTAGGCCAAACAAAAAAATAGGTGTGTTTCCGGTCGACCGACCGTCCCTAGATTATTAGGGCCGAACCTAAATTTTTTTTCAAAAAAAAAAATTTCTTTTTTGAAATCTGACAGACTAAACTTGACATTTTTTACTACAAACACGTTCTGGACTTGCTTACTAACTTATTCCTACCTATACACCATTTTATAGCATGCATCAGAGGGATATTAGGAACCAAAGAATAAAAAAAAATAAAAATATAAAATAAAATCCCTACCTACCTACCCTACTTTTGTTTTCGATGCAATAGGAAACACACCTATTTTTTTGTTTGGCTTTATGTAGAAACAACATTGGTCAGGTACACTTGTGCTGAGAGGGTCTATGTCCCCCGGGGTACTGCCGGAACGTTACCTGGGTACGGTCCGGTATACCGGAACGTACCCTGGTACTATCTAATATGCCGGACCGTACCTCGCCTACTCCATTAACGAGTCTAGGCAGTCGCCTACGCCTACTCCCTAACCCTAACCCTAACCATATCAAATAGTGACCCGGGTCCGTTCCGGCAGTACCCTGGGGGACATAGACCCTATGAGCTACACTTGTGTATACTACGGTATACATATCTATTATCTGTAGTACCTGATACGACAACGACCCCATCTGCCGTACTGTACTGTCTGTAGTACTACTACTAGTAATTAGTATTCCTATTACTAGTATTATTACATAAATGTTTAATGAGTAGGCCCCTACGGTACATTATTCTGGTAGTATTAATTATGGCTGTTGCTCCTGCGACGGTACCGTCGC